TTGTTACATGTTTAGAGAAATAAATAAGTCAGAAAGAAATTATGAAGTATTTTTGCCAAATGTGTCTGCTTCTCCTGCCTCCCCTTCTGCCTCTTTGATATCTTCTCCCTCATTGAGATAGCACAACAAACCCTTCCTTCCTCTTCTTCTTCCTCCTCAGCCTACTCAATATGAAGACAAGGGTGAAGACCTTCATGCCGATCCACTTCCACTTAATGAATAGTAAATAATCATCATGCTGAATAGCTAATAAACTTATCTGGTGTGTATGTGGGTGAGTGTCGTCATGTGAAAATCTAATAACTGTATAGCAAGAACTGTATTAATCAACTGTTTATGTCATTAGTAGGGCTTCCTGTCCATAGTAGGCTATTAGTCATTAAGTTTTTGGGGAGTCAAAAGTTAGTATGCAGATTTTTAACTGTGCAGGTGCCTGTATTGTTTAAGGGTCATCTCCCTCTCTCTCTCTCTCTCTCTCTCCCTCTCTTCCCTCCTTCCATCCTTCCCTTTTTCTCCTTCTCCCCACCCCATGCTTTATTTACATCTAGGTTGTTAGGTGCCACTGAATTGGTTCTGGTATATAGCCACCCTATGTGCAAAAGAAAAGGAGCTCTGGTGCTTTTTTTTTTTTTTTTTTGGTGCAGAAGAACAAACCATTGCCCAGTCGAGCACCATCCTCACAATCCTTGCCATACCTGACCCACTGTGTCAATCCATGTCATCGAGGGTCTTCCCCCTCATTGCTGACCTTCCACTTCAACAAGCATGATATCCTTTTCCAGGGAATGGTCCCTTCTGACAACATGACCTAAGTAGGTTAGACGAAGTCTGCCATTATCATTTCCAGGGAGGATTCCAGCTACACTTCTTTCAAAACAGATTTGTTCCTTCTTTTGGCAGTCCATGGTATTTTCAGTATTCTTCACTGTCCTCCTGACAACATGACCAAAGTACGAGAGTCATAGTCTCTCCATTCTGACTTCTTAGGAGCATTCTAGATACCTTTCTTCCAACATACATTTGTGTTTTCTTCTAGAAGTCCATGGTATATTATTGTTTCCTTATTCATTGGCCTGCATTCACATGCATATGAAACAATTGAAAATACCATGGCTTGGGTCAGGTGTACCTTAGTCTTCCAAGTGGTATCTTTGCTCTTTAACACTTTAAAGAGATCTTTTGCAGCAGATTTGCCCAATGCAATATGTAATTTGATTTTAACAACAACAACTTCCATGTAGTTTATTGTGGATCCAAGTAAAATGAAATCCTTGACAACTTCAGTCTTTTCTCCGTTTATCATGATGTTGCCTATTGTTCCAGTTGGGAGGAGTTTTGTTTTCTTTATGTTGAGGTGTAATCCATTCTGAAGGCTGTAGTTTTTGATCTTCATCAGAAAGTGTTTGAAGTTGTCTTTGCTTTCAGTAGTCAAGGTTGTGTCATCTGCATATTGCAGGTTGTTAAAGAGCCTTCTTCCAGTGCTGATTCTATGTTCTTCTTGATACTGTTCATCTTCTTGGAACATTTGCTCCGCATACAGATTGAGTAAGTATGGTAAAAGGATGCAACCCTGACACACCCCTTTCCTGATTTTAAACCATGCACTATTCCCTTATTGCTCATTTTTCTATTGAGTTGTTAGTATTTTTGTTGTAGTTATTTATATAATCTGAATGTTAAACCTTTATCAGATACATAATTTCTAAATATTTTTTATCATCCTGTTGTTGTTGTTGTTGTTATGTGCCGTCGAGTCATTCTGTAGGCAGTCTTTTTCTTGATAATATCCTTCACTGCAGGGAAAAAAAAAAACTTACTTTTGATGAAGTCTAATTTATCTATTTTTTTCTTTTGTTGCTTATGCTTTTGTTGTCATACCTAACAATCTACTGCCAAACAAGTTCCTAAAGATTCACTATGTTTTCTTTTAAGAGTTTTATGGTTTTAGCTCTTATATTTAGAGTATAGATGCATTTTGAGTTAATTTTTGTATATTCTTCTGCAAGTAGAAATCCAGTTGCTCTAGTATCATTTGTTGAAAAGATATCATTTCTTTATTGAATGGACTTGGCGCCTTTGTTGAAAATTGATTGGCCATCTATTTATGGATTTATTTATGGATTCTCAATCCTATTCTGTTGATCTATACTTCATTCCTAATAGCAATACCACTATGTCTTGATTACTGTAACTTTGTAATAAGTTTTGAAATTGAGAAACATGAGTCCAGCAACTTTATTCTTTTTTTGACAGGATTGTTTTGGCTATTTGGGTTCCCTTGCAATTCCATGTGAATTTCAGGTTGACTTTTACATTTCTGCAAAAAAAAGCTCTTGAAATTTTGACAAGGATTGGATTGAATCTTTGGATTCCTTTGGGTAGTATTAGCACTTTAACAGTATTAAGTTTTCTAATCCACGATCAGGATGCCTTTCTGCTTATTTAGGTCTCATTTAATTTTTTTCAGCAATGTTTTATAGTTTTCAGTGTACAAGTTTTTCACCTTTTGCTTAAAATTATTCCTAGATATCATCTTCTTTTAGATGCTACTGTAAAAGGCATTGTTTTCTTAACTTCTTTTTTCAACTTGTTCAGTGCTGATAGAAACTCTATTGATTTTAGTGTGTTGATCAACTTCTCTGCATTCATTTATTAGCTTTCTATTCATCTAGTAGTTTTCTTTTGAAATCTTTTCGCTATTCTATGTACAGAATAATGTTATCTATGAATAAAAATAATGTTACTACTTCTTTTCTGATGTCTTTTATTTCTTTTCTTGCTTAATTGCTCTAGCTAGAACTTACAGTACCCTGTGAATAGTAGTGGTGAAAATGTGACTCCTTATCTTGTAATTATGGTCTTGCATTGAAATGTATAATACCAATTGAATTGTTGATATCCTGAACTTTTGAGTCTTACTCCTTCAATTAAGCCATGCTGCTTTTAATAAGTTTCCATTACTATAATTTCTGTATCTGCTAAACCTATTCAAAGGTAACATTTACTCTGAATGCCTCTGTCAAGTGATGCTATTCTCATGGTATTTCATCACCCATTTCTACTTCTATATGGCATATAAACCACTTCTTGATACACAAAGGCTCAAATACTTCCTAATCACAACTTAAGAGAATTATTGAAGTTATCTTACTGGAAATATAGTCAAAGTAAAATGGCAAAATATTTATATATCTGAGACAGGTAGAGTACAGTAAAATAAAGTAGACTTTAAGTATCATATCACTGTTGACATGAGAGATTTTCAGGAAAACAGTGAATGTGGCCTTTAAAATATTTGGGCAACACTGTCAATACCTAAGAAGAGCAGAGGAAAGGAAACTTATTTTGGTTTTGTGCCTTCATAGGACAGGCACAGGGTCAAGGGCTTTGCCTCTGTTGTTGTGGTTGTTGTTATGTGCCGTCTAGTTGGATCCAACTCATAGCGATCCCTCCTTGGGTTTCCAAGGCAGTATCACTAGGGAAGTAGATTGCCCCATCTTCCTTCTGAGGAGTGGCTGGTGAGTTTGAAGCACCAGCCTTCTGGTCAGCAGTCAAGTGCCTTAGGCACTACGCTACCAGGTTGTTTGAATCCACCAGCTGCTCCATGGGAGAAAGATGAGGCAGCTGCTTTTGTAAAGATTACTGCCTTGGAAACCCTATGGGGTAGCTCTACTCTGTCCTATAGGTTTGCTATGAGTCAATTCCAACTCAGTGGCAGTGGAGTTCTTATCTATATATTACAGTAAAGGAAATTGAATTAATTTAAATAGTATTCTTAAGATTATGGAGCTAACATGAAAAAGCTCTCGGAATAAAATTTACATTTTTTGACTGCTATATCACTAATCAGGGAGCTCTGGTGGCATAATGCCCAAGATATTTGACTGCTAACCAGAAGGTTGGTGGTTCAAACCCACCAGCCACTCCTCAGAGGGAAGACTGGGCAATCTACTTTGGTAGAGATACTGTCTCAGAAACCCAAGGAGGGGCTGCTATGAGTTGGAATCCACTTGACAGCAGTGAGTTGTTTTTTTTTTTTTTAATATCCCTACTCATCTCATCATTACTGCTAGAGAGTACCTGTTGCGCCAACCAAATAAACTTATATAAAAGTTTCTTCATACAGAAATAAGAATGAGGTTAAAAAACAAATTGACATCTCAAGGGGAAAAAACTCAAGTGGTTATTTATTTTTCTTTGAGAACCATGGTTCATAAGTAATCTTGCTATATCTTCTGAGGATGGAGAACTTGGCCTTTATTAGTTTGTTACTTGGTTATATCTACAAATGAAGATTTTTCTCACTTGTTATGTGTAAAAATTTAGAAGTAGTTGACTATAATTGCTTAAGCTAGTTGTTTAGATTGAATATTCTGACCTCTCCAACAGTCCTAAGCCCAGCTCTGTCATTCCATTTCTTTACAATACAAGCCACAAAGCCTATACCGTGCTACTTATGACTGGGCCAGTCAGAGGTTCTTTCTCCTGTGTAAACCTTGAGCTTTATTACACCTTAATTAACTTAATTTACACTATGACTCATATGAATTCATGGGCTGAAGAGTTAATCTTACTATGACTAGCGCTCTTACACAAGTTACATGTACACTTACAACTAATGAAGTAATCGTGTGTAGGCAAATCCTTGGTTTGAAAAAGAAAGAAAAATTTGAAAGTCTGTAAGACCAGCTCATGAATATTTGTATGTATACTGCTTACTAACAGGAAAAAGATTAAACTAATTGGATAGAAACATTTTGAAATGACTTAAGCAGCTTGAAGAAATAACAGCAAGTGGGTCAGATTTATCGAGTACAAAGAGAGTCTCTGCGACTTTTGAGACTCTTCCTTTCTTTTGCTGAAATGTTTTTTAAAAAAATCATTGATATATACACACTATTTTCTTTCAGATTTCCCGCCTAGATGGTTAACTTTTTATTTGAAACATTATATTAATACTTTCTTCAAATTTGTGTACTTGCTTTTTTTGTGTTCTGCAGAGCCAAGAAAATGATGAGCTAAGAGATGCCCATGAAAAACGCAAGAAAAGGCTACAGATGTTACAGACCAACTACAGAGCAGTAAAAGAGCAATTAAAACAGTGGGAAGAAGGCAGTGGCATGTGAGTTACATAGCTCATAAAGGCATTTCCCTAAATATTAAATAGAATGGAGTAGCATTATATAGGTGTTATAATGGCTTTTGTTTTATTCAAAGAAATTATTTGGTAGTCAAGCTTTACTGTGAAATTTTAAATAGAGAATATAATAAATGAAAACAGAAATATGCTAGCAATAATTATAGATTTTCCTTTCATTTACAGATATCAGCAGTAGATAATAGTGAATTGCAATGCACCTTTTTAATAGCAATGGAGTAGCTTAATAAAAGTATATAATTTTGAAGCACAGATAATTTATATGAATGGAAAATGGCTTTTACATAAATAAAATTATGGACCTAAAGTGTTTATAACTCAAAAAGTATTTACATCTTAGTTGAAAGACAAGAGAAATATGAAATTCACATATATAGTTAACTATCTTAAAATTACTTCAACCTAGTATGCAATTTAAAAATCTTTACTATCCATCAGTTTGTTCTGCAGCTTATCCAAATGAATTGGCGGTCTCAGTTCAATTGCTCTGAACAGGTGTTCAGCTCTTGGTTAGTCGTAAGTGGCTCCCCTGTTAACAGTATCAACAGAGGGCATAGGACGGAATGAGTACAGAAAATCTACTACCCTCTCATCTTTTGAGATAGATCCTTTAGGGCAGTGTTGATGATACACATTGGTCTGTTCTGCAGAGAAATACTGTTTCTAAATTGGCCAGTACAGCACTTTTACAAAATAAAAGAGTGTGTTTTATGTACAGAAAATGGAAACATAAAGAGCATTTGCTATGACTTGTAGATAATTGACACATCGAATTTTTTTTCCTTTGATGCGTGGAAAAGGGTTTCAATTTGCTTGTCAGTAAAGCAGTGATAAAGTAATTTGTCCTGCATTTAGCCCAAGTAACTTTGTAGTAGCCCCCAGTAGTGTGAAAACTACTTTCTGCCATATTCACTGAAATAGCTTGTTTTAAGATACAGCATCTATACCACATTCAGATTAGCTGGGTGAAAATTCTAGATGAATTGGATGATAATGCTTTTTCAAGACTGTGACATTTGATGGCAGTGTTTGCACAGGGAGACAGCTCCCTGGGGGGTGGGCAGAAGTGCATGGGAGGAAAGGACACAGGGAAGAGGTAACTATGGGGAGGAAGTTGGAAGAGAACTGTTACATTGTGGGGAGTTACAGTCAATGTCATGAGACAAAATGTGTATGAACTACTGTATGGAAAATGAACTTGCTCTGTGAACTTTCACCCAAATCACAATAACATTTTTTAAAAAATTAAGTTAAAAAGCAAAACTGACATTTGTGTAGTATGTTATTACTGATAGAATGAGTGAGAGTAATAGACCTAAGTACTATGTGTTAGCTTAAAATTTTGCAGTCTAGCTTTAGGAAATTATGATATAGGATTTTTAATTTTCTATATTTTAGGCTTTAGGAAATTCATGTAATAAGTGGTGAGCTTGAATTAGGAATTTGGCCTATAAATAATTTAAAATTTTAGGGAATGATAAATTAATTTTTATTTCATTTTGAACATACTAAAAAAGAAAGCAACTTCATTTTTAAAAAAAAAATCAGGATTGATACCAGAAAAATCAAGAGAGCATATCCCCAACAACTTCGACAAGAAGATTCTGATGCTGTCTGGAATGAACTGGCATATTTCAAAAGAGAGAACCAGGAGCTAATGATTGAAAAGTGAGTTTCTTTCTTTTCTTTTTTAAACGATATGGACTTGGATAGACATTTGAGAGAAATTTTTGTGGCTTAAAGGCCATGAGAGGACATATGTTATAAAATTTGAAAATGAAATAATCTGGTTTGACCAACAAATGTAAAGAAAAAAAGAAGACTCATATATGTATGTGTGTGGATAGCAATAACTACACATACACACACACACACACACACACACATATATATATATATTTGTATTTATGTGTAGCAATAACAAGTTGCACATTTGCTAGGGCTAACTGAAACTGTATAATATGATCTAGGGACTGTGTTAATTAATGTGGCTCTCATCTGTTGGAGGTGTCATTCTTCATTAGCCTGTATTTTAGACACTGCCGTGCTTCATTTTTGGAATGAGGTGGAGAGGGGATAACCTAGCCAGCCATCCTTGTTTGATCTCCTAGATACACACACAGTGCAGAATGCCTGAGCTCTCTTGGTTCCCTGCCCTGTCCTGCTAATCCCAGCTGAGCTCATTATGGTGTAGCCTTGCTGCTACTCTTGGAGCCAGAGCTGTCCAAGCTAATTACTGGTAGCAGCAGAACTGCCTGTTAAGGGTCTGGTGTGGATCTGCTAACATGGTCCTTGGTAGTGACCTGAAAAAGACACGAGGGAATTGCTTGCTTTCTTGCTGTGCACTACCTGTCCTTTGGGCTTAATGCTGATCCCTTCACATAGGTCTTTTAGCTGCCGTAAGTATAAAACTTGATGAAGGGTACTCACATTTTTTTAAAATACACAGTTTGCTTCCTTGAACTTAAAATTCGCAGACTATTATACTCAATCTGCCAAAGAAAGGATATTTAAATTTTTTTTTGTAAGCAAAAAGGAGTTATACCAACATAATTAGCCTCTTCTGCTACTTAACTGTTTCTTCATTGAGCCTTAATTTTTGACACTCAGACTGACCATTGTAATTTTCCTGAAAGTCTAGATGTCTTTTAGGTTGCTAGAATTTAGCAACATGTACATAATGCAAGTAAATATCACTCAATTTTCTTAGCCGAAAAGTGAAAGTCTTTTATATATGATAACACATGTAACTATAGATTGCAGCCTTTTCCATGTCATGATACATTTTTGAGGAAATGACCATATTCAATTTAAAAGTGTAGTGCACCCTATTAGGACTAACTGTTTGATGCTGATAGTGATGCTGATAATGGAGTCTCTTATCTTGAAAATTATTTTATAAGTTACATAGATTTGTCATGTAAACATTTCCTGATCATTTTCTAAACAACTTTATTGAGATATAATCCACAAGCCATACATATTTTCCATATAAAGTGTATAATTCTGTGGCTTTTAGTATATTCACAATTGTTCATCGTTCATCACAGTTTTAGAAAATTTTATCACCTCTGAAAGAAAATAGACATCCTTAGCTATTACCCCGAAACTCCCCATCTTCCTCAGGCCTAGGCAACCACTGCCATATTTTTTTCCACAAATAACACACCCATGTAAATAATGAGTACGTATATATAACATGCATAGGAAACTAATGCTCCAGGAGGTTGTGTGGTTCACACACACACACACAAAAAAAAAAACATATAATGCACAAATTATTTGTGTAAAAAGATGATAATCTGTTTTCTGTGTCTGCAGATAGGACTGTTCTGCACAAATGTGATCATATAATATATGGCTCTTTGTAACTAGTTTCTTTCACTTAGCATGTGTTTTCAAGGTTTATCCATGGATTAGCATGTATCAGTACTTTCCCTGATTATTTTTATTGATCTTTTTGTCTCCAAAAAATAAAGTTAAGTTTGGACAAAGTCAATTAGATGGGATATATAATCTAATTAGGTATGAGATCTTATTTGTACAAGAAAATTCATGCAGAGGTTAACATAAATGTTACATTTTTAAAAATTAATGAAAGAGAACTGAAGAAAAAGTTCTAGTTAAGGCCTTATTAAGAAAGTTAGAGAACTCTTAGAGTCTTAGCCTATTCACTCAGCAGTGTTTGCAAGGTACAAACAGTTCCTTAAATTAAATGTGAAGAGCAGCAACAAAATAAATAAATGACATAATTAAATGGTGACAATCATTATTAAAGTGTTTAGTTCTTTTTCCTGATATGTGTTTAAGTGTTTAAGTGATATGTATATAGCAACAAATTGTAAAAAAGTTATTTTTCATAATCAATCTTAGTAAAAGAGTGAATTTTGGGTGGTAACCATAAAGAATGCTAAAGAACCGATGTTGTTGTTCTTATGTGCTGTAATGCTAAAGAACCAATGTTGTTGTTATGTGCCATCGAGTAGGACCTGACTCGTAGCGACCCCGACTCATAGCGACCCCGACTCATAGCGACCCCTCCTTGGGTTTCCGAGGCAGTATCACTACAGAAGTAGATTGCCCCATCTTCCTTCCGAGGAGTGGCTGGTGGGTTTGAACCGTCAGCCTTCCGGTTAGTAGTCAAGTGCCTTAGGCACTATGCTACCAGTGCTCCCAAAGAACTGATAGAAACTTTAAATCCTTTAATGAAGGTTTATTTGCAGGGAGGGATTAGGTGATTTTGTGAAACATTCATTCAGTTAAATGTGTTTGAGTTACTGCTGTGTGACAGTCATTGTGCTAGGGAGATGAGAACATTAGATAACCTTTCTACTTTCAGGGAGCTTACTTGGAAGCATGTTTAGTATTAAATATATTCATAATGAAATATGTTAAAAATAAGATACTTAGCAAAAAGTGCTATGATGATTCATTGATTTTTGTTTACTGATGACAGAACTATTATTATTATTTTTAAAATTCTTATATATAGTACAGAGGTGCTTTGGTGGCATGGTGCCTAAGGCATTTGACTGCTGACCAGAAGGCTGGCGGTTCAAACCCACCAACCACTCCTAGGAAGAAAGATTGGACAATCTACTTCCACAGTGATAGCGCCTCGGAAACCCAAGGAGGGGTCAATATGAGTCGGATCCAACACGATGGCAGTGAGTTTAGTTTATATATAGTACAGTGCCATTATAGTATATGATTTTATGAGTTTAAATACATGTAGAAAATTGAGTAACAACCACCATAATCAGGACATGAAAAAGTTCCATCATCCCCCAAAATTTTCTTTTCTTGTCCCTTTGTATTCAGTCTTCCTCCCCCTGTGACTTCTGTTAACCATTGATTGCCTCCCCATCCCTTTTTCTTACTGCCATCCAGTTGATTCCAACTCATAGTGACCCTCTAGGACAGAGTAGAACTGCCTGATAGGGTTTCCAAGGTTGTAAATCTTTACCAAAGTGGACTGCCTCATCTTTCTCTTGCTGAGTGGCTAGTAGGTTTGAACCCCTGAGCTTTTAGTTAGCCAAATGCTTTAACAACAGAGCCACCAGAGCTCTCCTTTCCATTTCTCTCTATATATGAAAAACCAAACCCACTGTCCATTGAGTTGATTCTAACTCATAGCAACCCCATTGGGTTTCCAAGGCTGTAAATCATGACATAAGTAAATTGCCTCATTTTCCTTCCATGAAGTAGCTGGTGGGTTTGAACCATTGGCCTTCTGGTGAGCAGCCAAATGTCTTATCCACTATGCCACCAGAGCTCCTTTTCTATAGTACTGCCTTTTTTTAGAATGTTGTGTGATTGGAGAATCAGGCTGTAATACTGGCTGTAACTTTTTTAGACTAGCTTCCTTTACTCATAATGTTTTTTAGATTCATTTATTTTGGTTCATGCAGTTTTTTCCTTTTTAATGTTAAGTAGTAGTATATTTTATGGATGTACCACAGCTTGTGCATCTATTTGCTGAAAGACGTTTGGGTCATTTTAGTTTTTTGGAATTATGAATAGAGCTTATGTACATGAGAATTTAGTTGTTTAGCATCCTTGCCAGTGCTGTTGGCGCTGTTTTGTTTTAATCATTCCAAAATGTGTGTATTGGTATCTCATTGTGATTTTAATTTGGTCACCATGAATTGGAATGGACTGATGGCAACTGATTTCATGTGTTTATTGGTTTTGTTTTGTTTTTGTGATTAATGTATTAATCATGTTTTTATGTGCTTATTCTCCATTTTTATATATTTTTTATTGAAATGCCTGTTCAAATCTTTTGTCCATTTCAAGAAAATTGGTTGATTATTAAGCAATCATTGTTTCTTACTGTTAGGTTTTAAGGAATTCTTTATATATTTTGTATACAAGTGCTTAATCTGATACTTTGTTTGCAAATATATTCTTCTAGTCTGTAGATTGCTTTTTCATTCTCTTTAAGTGCCTTTGCATGGTAAATATTTTTTAATTTGATAATGTCCAATTTATCAGTTTATTTTATAGAGTGTACTTTTGATATCATATCTAGGAACTTTTTGCTTAACCCAAGATCACAAGTATTTTACCTTGTTTTCTTCTGGACATTTTATAGGCTTACATTTTATCTTTAGATACAGAATCCATTTTGAGCTAGTTTTTGTATAAGGTGTGATTTATAAGTTGAAGTTTATATATTTATTTATTTTTGCAAATGGCTGTTCAATGGTATCGACATCATTTGTTGAAAAGACTATCCTTTCTCCAATGAATTACTTTCGTAACTTTGTCAAATATTAATTGACTGTATTTTTATTGGTCTATTTCAGGACTCTATGCAGAACATCACCTATTTTGGTGTAATTATTACTTTAAATAAAAGGAATTGTAGTGCTTCTAATATTTATAAGCCATAGAATAGAAAAAGGAACAAATTCAAGAATATGTGTGTGGAATATAAAATAAGAACTGTGAATTAACAACGTTGTAGACTCTAGTTCATTAAGCAGAATAAAAACGAAGGCAGAACCATCTAGGTAAGCCATTCAATAACCAGTGGTTAACCGAAAGATACTTCCCATTGTGCTTGGTTTTGCATCAATATTTGACAAAGTTGGTCACACTCTGTTTAAAAGTATTTTTTATTGACTCTGATGAACTCTCTTCTGGTTTTGTTTCTGTACCTC